GAATTTCTTAGAAAGGTTCAGTTCAACAAAATAAATACCAGGAAACAGTACTAGAAAGATGCAAGGTAGGGTCAAAGGAAGAGGGGTAGATAAATGAAGAGAAAGGAAAGAGAATATAGTCAAGATTCAATGTATATCCTACAAAATGAAGAAAAAGTGAGGGAAGAAATGGGTTAGGAGGGATTAAATGAGCATGCTGAAAGGAGTGACACTGATCAAGATGCACTGTATTCCTAAATTGCTTGCCAATTCCTCTGTACAAATAAAGATAATTTTAAAAATGCATTAATACAAGTGTTATATAAAGACTAAGTCTTTTTAAGTGGATCAGAATTTTAAGTGGTTCAAAATTATGCTTAAATTTAAGAGTACTCTCATATGCATTCTTTCATTAAAACTACCCATTTCGGGGGAGGCAAGCAGGAGGCTAGGGAGTTGAAGGCCAGCTTAGACTACATAGTAAGGTTTACTCTCATAAAACAAAATCAATGACTGGAGTTGTACTTCAGCTGTAGAACACTTGCTTAAGATGTGCAAAACTCAGGATTTGATACATAGCACAGTAAAAATAACAACAAAAATGTCCAAACTAGGGCTGGGAAGGTGGCTCAGTGGTAGAGCGCTTGCCTTGCATGCCTGAGGCCCTGGGTTCGATTCCTCAGCACCACATAAGCAGAAAAAAAAGCCGGAAGTGGCGCTGTGGCTCAAATGGTAGAGCGCTAGCCTTGAGCTGAAGAGCTGAGGGACAGAGCCCAGGCCCAGAGTTCAGGCCCTACGACTGGACCCAAAAAAAAAAAAAATGTCCAAACTAGGTACGGTGGCACCTTCTCTAATTTCAGCAGTTGGGAGGCTGAGGTAGGAAGATAAGTTTCTAGGCTATCATACCAGACTCTATTTCAAAAGAGAGAAGAGGAGGAGAACCGAAAGGGACAAGGAAAGGAAGAGAGGAGGAGGGGGAAGAAAGAGGAAGGGAAGAAGGAGAAAGTTCAAGAGAGGGGAGGGAAGGGGAAAAAAGAAAAAAGAAAAAAAAGATACAAGGAAAGATCTGTTTAGTCTTTTCTTGGGTTTCATCCCTATTACTACTTTCCACTAAATATTCTCTTCTTCATATTTACCTGAACAAACCTGAGGATACAATTTCTTTAAGGTACCAAGTAGATTTTTGCATGGCTTTTTAGGAAGATGCTTCCAGTTCATGTTCTTCTTTTCATCTGACCTATTAAATAGAAACATAATTAAAGAGTTAATTCAAATCTGTTTTTATCAAACAAAATCCTTATAAAAAGAAAATAATTTTTACTGCCTTTACAAATGATATAAGCAGTCCAAGTAAGTGCTTTTCAAGGACATTCAATGGAATTCAGGCAAATCTGACTTTCCTATTCTAACCCTCAAAATTTCAAGACTGGACTTAGAAGTACAATACTAAATTAAAGTAGTACTTTAATAGTTACATTGCAGAAGTAGGTTGTTTTGGGGGTTTTTTTGATGCCAGTCCTGAGGCTTGAATTCAGGGCCTAAGTGCTGTCCTGAACTTTTTTGCTCAAGGCTATCGTTTATTACTAGAGTAACAGCACCACTTTCAGTTTTTACAAGTAGTGTATTGGAGAAAAAAGTCTCACAGCCAACCAATGGCTCAGGCCTATAATCCTAACTACTCAGAAGGCTAAGATCTGAGGATCAAGGTTTGAAGCCAGCCTGAACAGGACAGTTTCTGAAACTCTTTTTTGTTTGTTGTCAGTCATGGGAGCTGAACTCTGGGCCTGGGTGCCGTCCCTCAGCTCTTCAGCTGTAGGCTAGCGCTCTACCACTAGAGCCACAGCACCACTTCCAGCTTTTTTCTGCTTATGTGGTGCTGAGGAATCGAACTCAGGGCCTCATGCATGCGAGGCAAACACTCTACCACTGAGCCAACTTCCCAGCCCTGAGACTCTTATCTCTAATTAACCAACAGAAATCTGGAAGTGGCACTGTTGCTCAAAGTGGTAGAACACCAGCCTTGAGTGAAATGGCTCACAGACAGTGCCTAGGAACTGAGTTCAAGCCCCACAACAAAAAAAGAAAAAAAGAAAAAGATTTCAAGCTATTTATTGGTAGGTTTCTAAAATGCTAGGTCCCCAAACTGAGGGACTAGAACTGAAATTTATGGATTAAAATACATTGTTTTCATAATGGTTAAAAATAGATTAATCAGTGAAGCTGACTGAAATGTTATAAATATGTGTGGAAATGTAACAATGAAATTTTCCTCTATAAAACTAATGGAAGTTAATAAAAATGTCAAAGAATTAATCACTCCACCATTAACATTATTCATGATCATAAGGCACTAAAGAATCAAAGACACAAGCAGGATGCTGATGGCTCATGCCTGAAACCCTAGCTACTCAGGAGGATAAGATCTGAGGTTCCCACTTTATTTTATTTTATTTTTTTGTCGGTCGTGGGGCTTGAACTCGGGCCTGGGCGCTGTCCCTCAGCTCTTCAGCTCAAGGCGAGCGCTCTACCACTTGAGCCACAGCGCCACTTCCGGTTTTCTGGTGGTTTATTGGA